TACCGGGGCTAGAATAGCTCTTTTTGCAATCGATTGGAGTTTTCCCCGTAGGGAGCAACCCCATACATTCCATGCACTACTTTTGTGAATATTTTGTCAGTTTTCGATCCACGAATAATTCTGCTGTGATCCTTTGTGGGTTTCGTAATCATTTTGTGGGTATCGGTCGATTACGTGATTATTCTGATCTTTACCACCCGGGTTACCTTTATGTTAGTCCATGAGACTGAGTCCCATTATCCAGGAGGCACGCCAAGGACGTGTGACTCTGGTTTCGCCTCTTTCACACCAATTTTAGATGGATTTATTGCCGGAGTATTAAATTTTTTTAAAAAAAAGCATTTAATAAACATTTAATAAGCGATACTTCTAGGCAGTGCTCATTTACGACCCCACACTCTGAACTCGAACCCAGGACCTTCGTCTCATGCGATAATGCCTAAACTCTAAACCATTGAGCCTGTATTCAGTGGTGTTAATGTTTAACTTCATTCGATCCATGTTCCTGCGTAACCCTCCATCCATTGTCTGAGGGGTATAACTATGTCATATTCGCCACGGATTGGACTCCAGTGGTCACGGTTTCTCACTAGAACTCCACGAATTCCCATACTGATGAATATATGATACATACTTATTTTGTATTGTGCACGTCTAACGTTATAGGCTAGCTAATTAAAATGTGTATATTATTCATTCATAAGTATCAAATGATTTTCCCATATTTCAATCTCACATTTTCTTGATCTTTCCCAAATTTGTTGTAAAATGATAATTTCCTTTTTCTTTTTTGTTCTTTACACTTAACTAACTACTGAAGCATACAATTAAATTCATGTAAAATGTAAACAAATAAAGAATGAAATTAATTACAGCATACAATGAATTTACATCGTACTTTATTGTTTTCTCTCTACAGCCAACGCACATACAAACTAACCAACTAAGCCTAATTATTTTGAATTTTTTCAATGTAGTTTTGAATTTGAAGGGTAAACATGAATTGTCGATCAATAATGTATAACTTATTTAAAAGGGATATAAAGTTTGAAATTTCAATTTTTAACAGTTTTTATTTTTAAAAAAAAATGATTGACTAAAGCTTAGAAATTATTTTCTTTCCTAATTATTATGGTTTCATATCTAAGTATAGAAATTACCGAAGCAGTAAGCAATCAGTATTTCATATTTGTTTAATTAAGAATATGTACTGCTATTATTATTATTATCATTATTATTATAAAGGAATAAGAACGTTACTAATTGGAAAAGTTGGGGTGCATTCCAACAGTAGTTCGGTTAAAATGTTCTTACGCCTCTTCCTATGACTTGACACGGTATTATATTGGATTATAGAAATTTATAAAATGTCCATCTTTACTGAAAATTTTTCTTTTGTTTATGCGAATGTTACACTTTTTTTATTCAATGGTAAAGAAGTATTTAATTGTAATAAGGTTATAAAATGTTTTGAGCATTATTATCTAATAGAGTCGAATTCACTTATAAATTTATGACAATCGAAAATAAAAAGACATGTATTTCATTTTCTTCGTTTTCTTAAAAAAAACTCCGACTTAATTGACATCTTTAACCGTGGATCATTTTGATTCTTTATCAATAAAGTATAGTCAAATTCAAGCATAGTATCTCTTTGAAATTTATTTAAATTTTGTTCAAATGTGTATGTTTGTACAGTTCTAAACCTTTTCGATATTAATTGCATATGACAAAGACGTATATCTATTACATATTCATAGTAGTTAGAGGATTGTTAATAGTTAGGTGTTGGAATGCTTTTTATAAACTTTCTAAAAGTGTACCATTCAATTGAGCACTTATTGTTCATCATCATATTATCATTATAGATACCTTTCGTTCTGTATCCCTTTATCTTCACAGTCCAAATGTTTTATGGTTTATCGTCTTGCTTTTAGGCAAAAATATTAGATTTGTTAAACTTTTAACCCAATAATCGCGTTTGGTTCACTATGTAGATAAAGTGCATTCAAGTATATTTTTTTCTCAGATGTTTTGTGTAGTTATAAAATGAAGTCCTTAACGTGCAGCTCTTAATTAATATCCCACGATATCTATATTTCATTAGTACACTCAAGATATGCAACTCAGAGCTTATTCTACAAAGATATATTTATTTTTAGAACTTCACGCCTCACTTAGTAAGTGTAACCCATAAATCTTCGAAGTAGGTTGAAATCACCGCTTACTTGATGTATTTATTTCAGATTCTTATTTCAAAATCCCTCATATAAGAAGAGCAGTGGCTTAGCCCTTGCAGCATTAAACTATTCCAGTCTTAAGTCCAAACTTCACTTTACTTACTCTGGTTGAGGCAACTGGATAACTTCACAAGTCCTTACATAGAATATTGTGTCTTCAAATCAAGTACACAATCATCTACACTTGGTTATAAAGATTCCCGTTAATTATTCATCAACTCGTACTTCGATTTTAGCAACTGATTAGCATCCTTAACTCTTGTTTAGTAATCAATGAGTCGATATCTGTTACTTTTCAAACCTTCCCGTTTTTTCATACTTTTTCAGCACTTCAAATATAATTCATCAGATTAGTTTTATTAAATTCATATTCCTTAAAGCGAAACTGCCTGTTAAGTGTTGAAATGCTTGTATTGTGTTACTTTATGTGCGATTAGGAATAAATATCACCTCTAAAACTATTGTTTGCCAATATGGGAGTTGAGAAGATTGTAGAATCTTATTGGAAACCGATTCATGTCAGGCAACTAGAAACCTAGAATCACTGGACAACTATTTCGTCTTAGCGTGACTCTTCAGCAGTGCACTTCTATGTTTTTCACACCCGAAACGGTCGAACTTCACTGGTTGTGAGGATTGTTAAATTTTAATTAATTGCTTATCTATCCATTTCTTCATTTCTTTTACTTAATAACATTATGATTCGTTTTTATTGCTCAGCTTTTACTGATCATGGTACACGTGAAACAACTTTCTACTTGACTTAAATCTTGTTATTGTTTAGGTTCGTATTTTCACATAAAATGAAACTAAACACCATTTCCACTTTTAATTTTCATTCATCAATAGTAGGGAATGAATGATAGATCGGTTTGATTTTTTTTGTTATTATGTATATTGTAATAAAGCAGTGTAATCGTATTATTATATATTTGAAGATCTTAAGTATATTATAAACTACTCATTTTTCTATACTATAACATTTTGATCAAATATTTCATTTGCGTTACTTAAATCTGATTTGATCTACCAATTTTGTGTTGAAGCACATCTATGCTGTATAAAATATCACTGAAATCCACCAAAACTAGACTAAAGGTATATCATCCCTACAAGTAAACAAAAAGTCTTCAACTTAATTACGGCTTTCAATCTTGTCAGATGTATCATGGTTTTAAAAGTTAGGTATTAGTAGTTTATACTGAAAGCCTTATGTAATGTGGAGGTAAAGCCTAGTGATTTCGATATTCAATGTTCAACTAATTAATTGTTTATTTAAAATACTACTAAGGCTTTATTATTCAAATAAAATCACTTATAATTTAACAGTAGATGTTTTTTATGCCGTGTTATATGAACTTGTTCATCATTCATTTAGTTGCATAGTGACATTACTTAGGATGATTATTTCTCCACTATTACTGAATCTTTCAAATAGAATTAACCCATTAGATATCGGATTCTTTAAACATATAATAATATATCGTCTAAGCTTCAAAATTTGACATCAATGTTCTTTTATATGTCTTCTATTTATATATTACATTCTTCTCATGGATAAAATTTCTGTTTACTTAAGGATTATTATTTATTAATTCACTCACTTCCCTCTGATATATCTGTCATTAATCTTAATAAGGTTTAGGGGGAAAAATTGGGTATTTTTAATTAGAGAAATAGTTCTTTTCTTTTCATAAATGTGAATAGCCGATCTTTTATCTTTCTTCTTAATACATTATGAAAATAATTTAAACGTTTTCTCATAGACTAGATTACTTCAATACAATAATACAACAACCAGCCAGTATTCATTTTTTTGGGGGTTTTACGGTGTTGAATGTTATGAAAAAAAGTTGTGGTATTATTTGTGCAGCATTAGTAATATTGTTTTATTCACCAATAGATTTTTATTGTACATACAAAAGCATATGTGAGTTTTTTCCTCTCTCTCTCTCTCTCTCGTTGGCTGTTAATAATAATCGATATAATACATTTATAGCTCTCTACACGGATTTATATAATGCTATGTATATGTGTATCGTAAAAAAGGGATATTGACCTAAAACTAACCATTTTTTCCAAAAAAATTTATTCTTATTTTCTCAGTGTATTTGTGTTCAAGTAGTTTTGTTTAGTCCACTCCAGTTTAGGCGAATGCATAGCTTCACAAGTACTTATATAAAATAATCCGTCTTCAAACACACAATCTTTTTCACATATTTATAAAGTTCCACATCCAATATTTATCAACTCGTATTTCTATTGTTGCAGTTTAATAGAGTATGGTCAGTCCTCGTAAAATAATCAACTGCACAGATAAAATCACTGTAGATAATCAGTTGCTACACTTGGTTGTTCTATCTTTATTTGTATTGCATTGATGAATAATTGATTTCAGAACATCCACGGCTTTTCCGTATTTTCTCTTATTTAAACCGTACAGTAACATTTAAAGGTGTATCATAAAAAAATAATGCTAACCTAGCACACCGTTTTGCATTTTCCACATTCTCTTGGTGTATCGTGTGTGTGTGTTACGTTTACATCACAAAATACACGGTGAAATTATCAATTTCACATGTAGTCTTTTTATTTTTTTATCTAAGCTTTCAGTAATATCCCAGTGCTTTTTCTCAAATTTTTTCATTAGATATAACAAGCAAATTGCATACCATGTACATTCTTTTTTTTCTCTCTCTCTTCTATTCCCATTTCTTTCGTTTGTTTGTTTTTTCAACAAAAACAAATCAATCATTTTAGGATCTAGTCGTGGTTCATCACTTACAATGGCTAGTTCAACAACAAATGATTCATTGCCTAGTTCAAATGGTAGTCCAGCGTTAACAAGTTATAACGCGAATCAAAGTAGTACACAAAGATCATTTTCATCAAATCCGAATCCAATTACCAGCAATGAACAACAAATATTAGAGGTTAGTTAAAGATCTTCCACTAATATTGTTGTCTTTTTGTTTAACATTTAAGTAAGTGGATGACATTTCACACTTGAAAATAATACATTTTGAACTGACTACAAAGTTGATTATTCAAATATAGTACAATATTTAATTCATTTGTTTGTATATGCCTTTTTTTATCATCATAACATAATAATTATAAATTTATAACCTAAATATTCTACAAAGAATATTAAATTATGTAAATTGATTCATTCGATAAACTACAAATCTATTGATGAATAAACAAAGATTTGAGAAGCACTTCATATTATTTTTCTAAATTTATTTAGCACTGAGTAGTAACCAATGTCATATATGTCCACTCCTTCGTAGTTCTAATCCAATTCTATCGATCAAGTGGCATTGTGACTTAACATTCATTTCAGTCATAAAGGGGATTTATTGCGGCTCGAATAGCACAGTGGTAACGTCTCCGACTGTGAAACTGTGTGATACGGAATTGAATCCTTCAGGGAGCATCAGTTCCCTCAAAATTACAGCTATACGTTCCTGACTATCAAATAGCACGAAGCTCAGGTCAAGTAGGGTACCCTGTCAACTACCTCCAACCACCACCATTTTATTTTTTCATATTTGGAAATTTTGCAAATATAGAACACTCAAACTCTGTTACTTGTGTATATTCAACCGTTTTTACAGCTTGCAATGACTTTTACAGCATAAGGACTGATTTACGATTAGATCATTTGCAATGTTTTTAATTTTTATTAATTTGTAAAATATTATAACTGTTGTTTATGTTATGAAATATCTGAATGATTTAGAAATCCAGCCTTCTACCTAGAAGTTATCTCTTTCTGTATGAAAAACTGCTAATATTTTGTAATCTTCACCGATTCTTAGTTAATTTTCAAATTATCTAGATCTAAGTATTGTGCTTGTTGTTATTTTTTCTAGCCGAAGCTTTCAGTTGAATTGCCGCATTTTAGCTTATCTCAAAAAATAAGAAAGAAAATTTATTCGCACTTGCCCACCAAGATAAATATCTGCAAACTTGAATGAATTGATGCTTACCAGTGAGAAATGCTACTGTTCAATGATTGTTCTCATTTTATAAGCAGATCTTGTGTTTTGAATAAGTACAACTTAATTTAACAAGTTTTCTTCCAAATTTTAATTACAAGTGCTGAATACTGTATCCCTTTACCAACAACAATTTAACTTTCTTAAGTCGTATCATCTAGTTTTTTTTCAGGTAGTAACGGATGTAATGGGACAACGAAAATCGGGAATAATTAAACATAGCACTTGTAACCATATATGTTTCTTCAGTGCTTGTAATCTGTTAGCTCATAACGGTAGTTTTCAGTCCAAACGCCTTGTTATATAATGAATATCTGTTTTCTGAGAGTAACCATCCTGCTTTCGATGTTCACTTGAAGTACAATATATAGCATTTCCATACATTTTTCTGCTCAATAATTTGTCAGTATCGTTTTCACTGGGGACTTGATTTTAATCATCTAAATCCATCTATGAACACGCCACTGTAGCGCATCCAGATGAAAAAAAAAGCCAAGAAAGTGAGAGTTAGTGCTCCAAATGAAATCCTCAATAAAAGTTATGCTCGTATATCCAACTTTCACTTACTAAATGAATGGAAAAGTGCTAAATATTCCACTCATATTGAACATTAAAACGTAGGTGCTCTACAAGCTCACGGACATATATCCTATCCCGATCTGTTTTATTATATTGACTTAATCTGACTTACAAATAATGATACTACTTATTAGTGACTTCCATATCGTTGAATTTCATGATTGACTTGGCTAAACGTCTATTCATTTCTTTCCAAATCTGTTTAAGGACCATGAAATTATGTTCACATGTGAAAGAAAAGATATGATTACCTATGAATTTTACTTAAATCCTTTTCCCTTATCACTCTAGTCATTAAATCGAACTTAAGATATCGAATTGACTTTCTATGTAGTTATCGTCAAATGACATTCATCTATACTATCCATTTTCTGTAAGTTAACTGGAGAGTTATATTTGATTCCTCTCTAATCATTTTTTACGTTATGGTATCTATTCCTAGAACAAACTACACTATGCAACTCCTGTGATCAAAAACCAGTCTCAATGCTCTACTACTCCAGGTCAAGTGTTCAATCTGTTAAGACAGTCCACATTGGCTAGTAATCAAGTTTGCATGAATAATCATCAAACTAACACCGATCTACAAACCGTCCCTGAGAAAACGGGTGTTCCAAACGGAAATGCTCCAGCTGCTCCGCCTCCACCTCCTCTACCTATGTTTTTACCAGTATCGCCAAATAATCTGTCAACACCCCATCCATCACTAGAAGAAATAACTTGCCCAAAATCTTCCGGTAAGAGTTTTGTAGTTCTCGGTGATCTAGATGTGTGTAAATTCTTTAGTTTAACCATTTAATCATATAGCCTAAACTATATGTAATAATTTTTAAAATCAAACCCAGTGTGTGTATTTCGGTTCAAAGAACGTGGTTAAAAATTTCACTATGAAAATACAATAATTAATGACGTATCAGGGATAAAATGTTCAATTATTTTAAACTGATAAGGTAACTCTCTTTGAATGTTAGGGTTAATGTTACTTTTACCCAACTTTTCAAAATGTAAATATATAGATTAAGATTCGAACTTGCCTCATATTGATTGATTTAAACAACAACCCATCATTTTGTTTTCGATCATTTGTCACAGTTAAAACGAATCGAATGAGGTCAAAAAATAAAACTTAGGAATGTCAATAAACACAAGATTTATCCGAACAAACAGAACGAATACAAATGCAATAATGTAATTTAGTTTAGATCATTTCTTTGACTTGCTGCAACCACTATACTGGTTCTGATTAGTAGGTTTTTATCTACCGTAGCGTAGTCAAATATCTTATTTACTTCGACTAAGGCAAATAAGCTATTTGGCTACGCCTTGACGCTATAGTCGACAGTTTAAGAGACTCCTTTAATAAAATTATATGTAGAAAGATAAATTCAACAAAATTTCGGACAATAATCTTATTCTTTTTGAACATCGAATACATTCACTACTGAAATAACTTATAAGAAGTGCTATAGTGTTACGAGATTCCACAATCGTTAGCCGATCGTTCGAAAGATTAGGACGAAGATCAATTTAAAAAGAGTTCTTCAGTAGAGCTACAGTCTGCTAGGTTGCACGTAACATAGAGAATAAAAACGAACTAGAGAAATCACATTGTTGGGAAAAAGAAAGTTTTGATAACTGTATTTACCAAGATGAGATATTTTAAGGTTCGATGGCACACTCGTAACTTACTGTAATTTTATTAGAAATTTAGAAGAATGAATCAGACAGAGAGCTTAGCTAAATTACCTAGTCCAGTATTTTGACGGTTACGTAAAGACCGCTACTCTCCAATATACCTTTCGTTATCGTAAAGCACTGGAGATTTTGGAGAAATGTTTTGGAAAATAGCATGTTGTCAGATGGCATCTTGGTTTCACTTAAAGAATGTGAACTTAACAGTAGTAGAAGACGCAAATCTCAAGCTGTTAATTGCGTGTAACGTATCAGTCGCATAAAATGCGAAACAAACGATGTTTGTTTTGAAATATTGTATTTCAAATGTATACTAGTTTTGCAACACTTCTCATTGTATAGAAATGAAAACTAAAGAATACCACTTACCGATTATACAACCTGAACTTAACCAATATGTTAATCTCACTATTAACCATCTATCCATGTAGTAAAGCTTGTCAAACACATTTAAAAAAAATTGATAATTGTCTGCTTTCGTCGTGTGATTTTATTTATTTTTATTATATTCACATATGATTTGTTTATTCACTTTGTAATTCTGCACAACGGATGGTCATTCATCATATATGTCTACGTCACTTTTAACTACTTTCTACTATCAACTAGTTTGTTTTATGAAGAATGTAGATTCAGCAAAATGTTTTTCTTTTCCGTCCAGACATTTAAATGTAATGCATCAATGACCACTTTTTTCTAGGTTGAAAGAAATGAGAAGAATTATAGACCATTCATAATTACATAATTTGCTTAACACAGACTTATGCTCTTTTTACAATATAAGTGTATTTTTCAATATACTTTCTTTTGATTAACTACGTATAAATTGGGAAATGTTCACAAAATTTTTATTTATTAAGACGAAAACGAATAATACATAACTATTGATTAGTCACTGAATGGGCATCATGGTCATGGCCACTCGTCTGCACTGTGGATATTACGCGTGTAGTAATCAGGTAGTGTTCATTCCCCTATCAGGTGTCGATGGCTCCATACTTTCAGTATTTCTTCATAAATAGTAGCTTAACAATATTTTCTTGTGATGATTCAACATTGTCACCTATTTTTTAAAATAAAACGTGACTTTATCTAGTTCCTGTAATCATAACTTGTTCTTGATTTCACTCGTTTGAGCAATGTAACTTGAAGTTAGTCAAATACAAATTATAACTGTCACACTATATTATGGGTAAAATAAAGTTGAGAAAAGGTTGATGCATAGGTCATCTGTAAATCAGTTGATTTGAAATAAGATTTGGCATGATTTGTTTAGAATTACTGTTTGGATATTGTAACAATCTCGACTTTTCAAGGTAGTTATAAATTAATACTAATAATCTAGATATCCCTAGAACTATTCACGAGTTTTCAGTGTGTGTGATATTGTTTTTCTATAAATTAACTATCAATCAATTGCTACATTTATTAAAACTACATTTCTTTCTCCTCAATTTCTGTTCAATTTTTTTCTAAGATTACAATGAAAATTTGGCAACTGATTTGGTTTCTGTAGAAACTGCTAATCTCATGTCTGAATTATCTTCACAGTTGCAACAACTTGCTGCACGATCGAACGATGTAAATTTTTCACAATCCACATTTAAAACGAGAGATATATTTCACAAGGAATCCATAAAACACGATGACTTCGATTTACCTCCACCACCGCCACCGTCTATGTTTACAGAACAATACTGCAGTGATGCAATGAAATTAGAATGTTCTCTGATTCAGACTACGAATATTAGTTGTACTTCCACTACCAGCAGTATTGTTAATGATAATAATAATAATACTGATGAAGTAATTGATGATGATTCCAAAAAAAATTTATCACCATTTTTATTGGCGTTAAAACAAAGTGTAAAACAACGAGCTGACCGTATAGCTGCTGAAAGCTCAACAAATAATTGAACGTGAAATGATGCTACACTCTTTGATGATGACCATCCCAATGCAGTAACATTTTTTGTTATACATGTTAGGAATTTATCTTTCAAAGGTAGTGGCGACTTTCACATGTAGGAATCTATATATAAAAGTGATGGTGTTGAACCACACATTCTCACTTGCTTTCTAATAAAATCTGTCGACAACATTCGGTATTTATCCTTTCCTCATTTTTTTCATCATTATTGTTCCCATCATAATCATCAGTACACGTATTTATTTTTATTGAAACATTGGAATAATATGCAGCCACGGCAAGAAGCAAACGTCTCATATACTTACTACTTTTTTCTTATCATTGTTGTGGTTAATGTTAGTTTTGATCGTTACCAACCTCTACCGTTTCCATTTTTGCCTAACTCATCTTTTCTCCTGTTTGTGTAAATATAAATGTTAAGTTATTATTTTGTATGACATCATCATATTACTAACTCTGATAAGTAATGTTTTGCGGACATTTCACATACACCTGGTTGCTATACCCCAGTATTATAAACTGATATCAGGCCTCTTTTTAAAAAAAATCCAGTACTTGTATCTCTAACTGTTACTAGTTACATAACGTCGCTTCTGTGTGTTTTTCTTTACGAACTCTTTCCTCTTACCAGTGATATGAAAGACGTGTTTTGCAGAAAAGTAAACCGGTCATTATCAAATACTTACCGATTAACTATTTGACTAACTGTCTAGTTTAACAAATAATCTAACAATCTATTCAATCTAAAATCTCATTAGACAGATTTCTGGACACAGATAGACACACACACATATACACATTCATGTACATTTTCAAATTCATCTGTTCTTATTATCTATTGTTAATAATCCATTGGAATTTTCCACGCGTTCAAATTTTAAAGAAAGATCTATTATTATCGTTACTGAAGATATTTCCTGTATTTATGCGCATGTCCTTTTTAGATTATTTTGTGTTTACATTTTGTCTTCACTTGAAACATCAGTAAAATGTATGTTGGTGACCGACAGAGTAGGGAATCTTGTACGCCTTTTCTTTGAACAAATGAAATCAACCGGAAACAAATGTTTTCAGATATATTTAAATTATTATTATTGCTACTACTACTAGTTTTAGCGTTAGAATTATTAATATCACCATACTTTGGAGTACTGAGAACTTTGTTTGTGGTGCTGTTAAAAATGTGTTCTCGTATCATTGCTATATTGTTCCGTTATTTTCATTTTTGTCACAATGTGATTCAGCCATATATATGTGTAGTTTCCTATCACACCGTGTTCTACCCCTAAGTCTGTCTTGTTGTGGAACTGTGTTGTGTATATCTGTGGTTATCTCTATACCTGATTCTATACTAGTTTCTTCTTAGGTATATTAATAAATTATATTATACCAAGGTTAGGGAAATTTGTTATTGTTTTCTCTATTTCTTCTAAAAATTCTGTATTACATCGTATCATTTTCTTGTTTATCGCTTTGTGAGATTACATTTTTCATTCTACAATAAAATTTTATTTGTTCATTGTAGATGGGAAAGGGAAGAATCATGAAAAGATTCAGGTGGAAAATAAAGCTCTCACATACATTCTTTTCATTAATGACTCACTGCACTTTAATTACATGTTATATGCAGATATATTTATACACATCACTTGATAATGTCTTTTTTATACAAAATGTCTTAATGTCCACAAATTGCATTTTAATTATTTGACTTTACTATATATATAGAAAAACAAGGAAACATTGTGTAAATTGTTGAAGGTTGTTTTCTTTTCTTTGAAATTTCCTGTCTGCATGTCTATTTTTGTTAGGTTTTTATTATGGAATAACATAATAACACCACGACTAATCAATCACTCGTACTGAAGGTAAAATTTGATAACGTAGTCTAAGTGTTTTGATTAAAATAGATAAATGATGGCGAATTTTGTATCACTTCAACTTAAATTTTCTTTAGTTGATAGGCTAGTTATTAATACTATGATTATGTCTCTACTGCATTTGTCAGTAGTTGCAATGTATTGACGTAACCAAATTATATATATATTTCACAGATTATGGATAGATTGAAAACGTAAATACAGTGGTTTATCCAGATGACAAGTTTAGTCAATAAAAGAAAACACAACCAGTTGCAATACATACTGGACTAACTAAGTGTTGAAAATGCTCCTTCCCACTTTCCGGATTTATATGAGCATATTTTTGGGCGATACTATAATTTGTGGACGAATCAATCACGTATAAGGTAACAGGTCTTGGATATTTGGTTAAGTAGAGTTTTGGCATTATAGCTGATGTTAGTTCGTGATGAAAACTCCAAGTCTAAGTCCTAACCTCAACCATCAACTGTAAATCATAATTCTGGTTTCTTTAAGGTTTGTAACCCTCATTTGGTAGCAGTTATAAGGTGGACATCTCAAGGTCAGTCTAGCGTCACTCAAAGGTCATCCATGAAATATAGTCACACCCGAGTTCCATATTTAGTGGACGGAAGGAAAATTTGCACATTAATTAAAAATCCCATTTCGCATTTGCAGATAGTCATTCCAAAGTCACCTCCAGTAATTACTAACGATTGATTTTTATAAACATAACATGCAAACAATAGACAAGTCCGAAATTTCTGCTACTTAGCACGGAACAATAATTTATATTATGTTCTTGTACTTCCCTAGTCATCATTATTTCTCCAGTTGATATTAAAATGTGTAATCTTAGTTCATTTAGACTTTATTGCAAAACTTGACAGACAGCTCGTAAATTTATCTGATAATCTGCCTTAACTTTTTTCTGAATGACAATTAACTTACTATTATTTAAATTTCAATACATTGAAAGAAAAACTGTACTTAAATGCAAATAAAATAACTTGTTCTTACCAGTCTACTGATGTTTTTTAATAGTAATGATGTCATCTAGTGTGAAGTACATTCATTACAAGAACTTATCTTTTATGATTTTATTTTTCAATCCCTTGTTTATACCATCGTATTGTTTACGACAAGTCTTTAAAAAAAATAAGTGAAACTACTGTAAAACTCACAAAATATACAGATTTCTGCTTAATTGCATCTGTCATTAGGTAATATGGTTACGGTATCCAGAAATTAACTATCATATTCATTATAATGGTCAACTTATTCGAACTTATCACTTGTTTATTTTTTTTTAATTTACCCATCATAACCAATAATAACAATAGGAAATCATAAAAATACTTGTGTACAATGTTACATCTGAAAATATACCGACGCTTTTGCCATAAATAACAATTTATAATTTCACAACTGTAAAACATTTGGTGTTTGGCTTCACTAAATCAATATAATAATATTTCATCACACATTTCTTGTCATTATGTGATCCTTTCTTCTAAAATTATTTATTTACGTGCTATGACTAGATTCTAAATGTTTCTTGTTGTTGTTATTATTATATCACGAAGCTGAATACTTCAAAATATCCCAGTAATGTAAAGGTCCAACAAGAATAAAGTTGGACTTGTTCAACATCGGATTCTGGTTTAGTGAATCAGAAGTTAACATTCCACACACCAGATCGATGGTCCTGAGTTAGAGTCGTTGATGCGCTCTGCTGAGGTGTCAATTGTGTGATAAACGTAGTCTCGGGCAGGAGAAACTCAGTATTATACGAAACTTCACACTATCTGTAAAATATGAAAACAATACAAAAAAATGTACCATTTACACATCTTTCTTGAATTGTTTTTCACAAACTCCATCATTCTTCCACTCCTGTTGTTACTTCGATTTTTCTGTTTTACTCCCTTGTTTACCGGTAGGAATTCTACCTCCAATCCCCTGTACATTCTACTCATACCGTTTAAGTATTGCACACTACAATACTAGGACGAAACAGCAATCCAGTGCTTTCAGGTTTCCAAATGCCCTGGTACGGTCGAGAGTGGGAAGAGTCCGCTCTCCTTCTCGAAATGCTCTCACATGGCCATGCGTATATAGCCTGTGCCAGGGAAGTCCTACTCACTGCCTTCTCGTGGCGGGGGTGTTGTTTACAAAAATGAGAGGACGAAAAGCGAATGTCCAGCGCTTTAACCGGACCCCAAACCAATGGTGCACATGGGCTCCAGTATCCTAAAGGAGCAAATGGTGTATGAAGCAATCGTTGGTCACCGGCTACCGTGGGACTGCATCTCCTTACGATGCTCCACTGCCTTGTGGATCAGATCTTCAGGTCGAAGGCTCGGGGTGTAGCCTCTTAAGAAAACCACCTGCTTCGGTTTGGGCACCCTGGCAGTATCACAGCCCTCACACAAATCATTTGAGATTCGTGTGGCGCATATTAATTGGTGCCTCCCTGTACCTATACTTATGTGTTAAAATAAATAAGGTTCTCAGCTGTTATCTAACTTAAACTGATTCGTGTTTTCAGTGAAATACTCTAACATAGTTTGATTTTTTTTCGCTGAGTTATATTTCGTTTCCAGATGCCTGATGAGCTAGGTGAGTGTATGGACATCGTTTGACTCTGCTCACATACCATCCCACGGATAAGCGTTAGGTGAGAGATTAGAAACAAAGCTTGATACTGATGAAAGTCGGTCAGAGTCTTAGCTTACTAGTCTTCATGTAGATAGGAAGGAAATTCGTATACTTTTTGTGTATACTATAATTTGCTTTACCAATTAGACTTTCTTGCTCATTTCAATCTTCGCGGCTCGGATAGCTCAGTGGTAACGTCTCTGACTGTGAAGCTGCTTGACACGGAGCCGAATCCTTCAAGGAGCATCAGTTCCCCCAAGATTACAGGTATACCTTGCTGACGAATGCCAAGTAGCACGAAACCTAGGTCCAGGGTTCGCTGTCGACTACCAACCACTATCTTTCTTTAAAAAAAACTTTTTGTTGAAACCATGTCACTATACACCTATAAAAATATATATTCGTAAATTATCCTTTAAACATATAACTATGGTAAATTTTTTATTTTTTTCAAGCAAATTCACTTGTAATACAAAGTTCATAATTTCTGTTTGTAACAATTGTTCAAAGCTTTCCTATAATCAAAAAACAAAACATACTCTTTCAGTTTATTTTTGTTGTTTAAATTTCTGTATAATTGTATAAATAAGGTCATCAGGGGGGGGGAAGATTACAGAAAAACGCTAATAAAATAAATTTTAGCTTTAGTAAATTTGGATCTTAGCCTAATAGTATCATCTAAGACAAGTGGATAATATAAAACCTTCACAAATGAATTGACAAATGCTAAAAAAGTTATTGATCTTCGGTAATCAATAGACCATTGGATAAAAGGTCGATGTTTGATACGACAGTTTCTGTTTCTTATATCAGTGTAAAAATCAACACTGAAATGGTGGTGCATTCTTCTAATGAGTCCTAAACAGAATGAAACTCGTGTCTTGAATTCCATTGTCAGGTACAACCCAAATTTACTAAAACCTGTGACTAAATCAAAATATCTGAGCAATCTTTTGAGTATACTCAAATGTTAATATAAACTGATAAGCTATGATCTTCTGTTTTAACAATTTGGAAATACAAACTTTTACCAATAATCTTTAGCTTATTTTTCATAAACGTTTACAGACGATGAATATATTACCCAGCACCCTGGTGGACCATTCGCACCATTCATATACTGATTTACTTCACATGTATAGTTATTCCATTCATTGATCGCGTCAATCAGTTACAACATGAACAGGCCAAAGTTGACCTATTCCGCTTACACGACAGTCAAACTTACTAATGTTAGCAATAGTGATTTGCCCTAAAATGTCCCAATGACAATGGCCCTTGAGAACACTGAAAAGCAACCACTAGTCTAAATGAAATCGGTTAATCAGCAAACCGATTTTGCGTATGAACAGTCAGCGAAACTTGCCAATGCAGTACCGAACTATCCACAATGTTAACAGCGAACATCCAGTCTCTGAGAATTCTATATTGTACCAAAATATAATATTGAATAAAGCCATAAATAAAAAAAAAAATATATGAGACCTTCAGGTCTACATAACAATATAGCTTATACTGCATACAACACATATGGGCTGACATATAAAGATTTCTTAATGAATTATAAACAAGAATTGATATAAATAAATATCACATCGTTTCTAAAATACTCTTTTTCTCATATTTATAAACTCATCTGCCGGAATATTATGAGTGATTTAAGCAAAAGTGGTCTACACAATAAATCCAAATTATAGTAGAAATTGATCAGTTATCTCTTCAAAATACAGTAAATAACATTGATTCACATTCTCATATCTATTATTAACGTAACAAAGATAAATTGAGAAATAAACGCATTTATTTTGTCAGAATATGTGAGAGAAATTTGATCCATAATGCACAAGTTGAACGAAAATATTGACTCTGAAGTATACATCACCGATTCAAGATTGACCTATCAAAGTACCAATGAAAAACTGTTACAGTTAAATCAGCGTAAGTTAAAGTAAGATATCAGCCAACAATATGATTACATAATAAAATTGATTATAAATGAAAATATAAATCACTGAGTGCTTGTATACATCAATTTAAAATTTATCATTTTTTGTAAGCGAAACTAGATGATCTTTGGTTCGACTATGAGTGTGTAATTGATAAATCTTCTAAATGAACTCTTTATACGGTTTCCTAAGCTCTTCTAGTAACCCTCTAGCTAACTCTACTCAGGAACTTGAACACGAGGGAAAAAGGCGTGAAATATGGGCGGAATGCTTTACTCCAAATTTAGTTTATGTGCAGAAAGTCTTGGATATTTATAACATTTCAGATAGCCTTGAGCTTCTGAAAAGATCTTGACTTTTCACTTACTAGGTGTTTCTGGAAAACGTTCAAAGATTGCTGATTGGATAGAATGTTTTCAAGGACCCTTCTGGCTTTTTTCCAGGGATTTTCTGGGTCTCTCCAACAGTAATTATTATAGAATCTTAAATTTCTACCATAAAATTATTCATACATCCTACATATATTCATATATCTTTTTTTCACAATTCTCTAATTGATATCGATCCAAATTTTATAAGTTAATTTCAAGTGAAAATCTTTTAAAGTTCATCTCTCATTTCTATCCACTTTTTAGTTTTAATCTTATTTCATTATCGTTTGTTAAGCATCTTTGTCAAATATAAAAATAAACTAAATTTGAGGATAAATTGAATTTATTTCCCAATAATTTTGCTATGAATCTTGTTCATTTATGGAGATTACATAGGGAGAAACACGTGAGAAATCGGTTATTTTTAACAATATTATTATGATTAATGTCGTAAACAATACTGTGTCATAGTCGCCATGCACTCTGCCATCTTCATTATTAAAGTTGTATTTGGTTATCAGACTCTTATGTAATAGATTGATTTATTGATATTAGTATCATTATTGTTAATTTCATTATGAATACATTAGTTTATTGATAGTCTTTGAATTTATCAACTCATCAGATTTCTATTTACAGAATTCCTCTCCTCCTAACAGAGAACAAGCTGCACACACACGCACACACTGAACTTGTATGAATGTGGCGAGTATCAGTATATCAATACATCAGTACGAGCAATCTAACAAACAACTTGATTTTCATGTAAAGTTAACTATATTAAATTATATTTAAATTATGACATAATGGATTTCAGTGAAAAATGTACAACAAAGAATATGTAGTAAGTCGTCTTCATTCAAAAAACAAACTTTTGTCTCGTTATTTAAGGAGCTAACAATTACTTTCTAAATTGTATCATTCAATTCTCACATCCTGTATTAGCCTATGGATTTCCTCTTTTCTCGAATTATAAATTATAATGATATTAGAAATCAAAAAACGGAAACGTTCTCCCATAATTTCAATGTATGAATTGATTAGTTATGAGTTATGAAACAGAATGTTCGAGCGTACAATAAATGGTGAAATTCTAAGTAAAAAATTAAGATAATATGGTTTATCAGTCCATAAACTCCTCATAATAATTAATGTGTTTGCTGGTCAGTCAGTCAGTCAATAACAACGTAGAGCTTCGTACGTATGTACATCAGTTCGAGTTGTCATACCACATTAGCACAGAGATTCAGTTGTCCATTCAAATCCCATAGTGGTAGAGGTAGTAAGAGTATAAACAGTGATAGGGAACATTAGGGTTTGATGATGTTATTTAAGGAGTATAAAACAGTGAAGTAAATTTGGAAAGAAAATAAAGGACATGAAGAATTCAGAAGATTAGAGTTTGAGAGAACACAAAGAGTGGATGCACCTGCGCCATTGAAAACGACTTCGAGCCATGTCACTCAAGGTCTCTAACCATCGGTTGCTATCGTCTCGCGGACCCCAACCAAGTAGTCTACATCTACTAACGTGGCTCAGTCCACTTGTCAGTGACTTCGTGGATTTGTGCCATGTTTTGGTCTGACCGCCCCTAGCTTTCTTCCAACCTACTCCCACTCCATAAAACATCGCACGTCGGGGCAGTCGGTGGTCAGGCATACGTAACACATGTCCCAGTCATCTCAACTTATGAAGTTTCACTACTTCATCAATTGATTTGCCATCCTTACCTAGTACCCGTTTCCATACAACTGAGTTAATTACTCCATGATCCCAGGATATACGAGCAATGTTTCAAAGACATCTATGATCAAATACTAGTAACCTAGGAATATCCTCTACTCTTGCCAGCCGTGTTTCAATGCCATAAAGTAGGACAGAACGAACTGCTGCGTAGTAAACACGTCCTTTGGTTGATAGACGGATATCTCGCCTACGCCACAAATGACGCAAGTTGGCAAAATCTAGTCGAGCCTTCTGTATCCGTACTGAGATTTCGTCACACACCAGACCACAAGGGCTGACGAGACTTCCGAGATAAGTGAAGTTGTCGACACGCTCAACTACTTCACTCCCTATCACTAGTTCGGGTGTTGACGCAACCCAATCCTGAAGCAACATTTTGCATTTC